TGACCTGATAAACTTAGTTCTGGTTGGTGGAACATTAGCTATTTTTAATAGCCTTTCCTACAGAATTGTTAAAGAGACTTGAACATCTTGATGATTAACTAAAGAAAATCACAGAGGAGTAGAGTATGGTAATTTAAGTTCATCAACAATATCATATTGGTCAAAGGCAACAACCTTCCCATCCCTTCCTAATACAGATCAGTGAGTACGGTAATTTAGGTTTATTACCAATCAAGTTTGTGGCAACAACACTGGAAATATTTTTGAATTAACATGTGAAATTGATAGAGATCCCCTTTAATCAATACTAACTATTCCTTAATTTTTTTTATTGAAATCAGTTAAGATTAGCTCTTTATCTAAAATGTAAGTACTGTATCTTTAAACATATTTTCCATTTGGAGACCCGAATGGGGGATGTGAACAGGGCATCTGAGGAGAACAAGACATTAAAATTTTAATCACAGCTTCTTCTCCTTTCATTTATATATCTCATATTTTGGAGTAAATAATTTTTTTTCACTTCTCTCTACATCTTGTTTATATAAGTAAATATTGAAACAGTTGTCCATACATGTCTATATACCACAATGTGTTAATATTTTACAAGAAAATAAAACCACCTAACATAGTCATGTTGTATTCAATAGAAACCTGCTGTTACAAACAACTTATATCCACAAAATAAACACCACCAAAAGACAAGAATTTGAATCACATACACACAAGTATTTCAACGTAAATATTTGAAATGCTTTTAATTTGCACAATTACAAAATAAATTCCCTTCCTTTTTTGGTCATTTTTACATTAAATCATACAAAAATTTAACATTGCTATTTTAAAAAAAGGAGTAGGGTTGCCTGTCCAACCTCGTGGGGTTTTTTTCCAGGTCCTCCAGTTTCCCCCCACTGCTAAAGACCCATACCCGCAAGTGAATTATTGGAATAGAATTAAACCATATGTTGGTCATGAAATGACCTAGTTTGAGTTAAGTGGACGTTAAACTCCATTTCTCTCTCTCTCCAAAGAATAGAGCCATATGCCTTTAACATTCTATAATATACACAGCAATCTTTATATCAATGTTTATGTGTTTAATGATAGTGGAAGAATTTTGCCTGAAACATCAGCATGGGAACTTTGGGCCTATAATCTAAGCGGAAATATTAGACTGTTTTTATCTTTTGATAATGAATAAATGTAACAACAACCATCTTTAGAAACAAAAACATGTTTGTTCTCAGAATCTAATAAAAAATATTTTTCCTTTATATCTATTTCTATTTATTTTATTTTATCCAAGACAGAAAACACTACCTGGTACAACACATTTACATGTATAGATATAATATACAGACATACTGTACGTTTAGAAACCTGTTATTTTTAGACAAGAGATAAAATAATAATGAATCTTGTTTGACTGCCGGGCACTAGTGGTCAAGCAATAACAATGGCTGCTACTGACCATCTACAAACAGTAATCAGATCTGATCAGTAAGAGGGATAAAAAGATTAATTTCTGTTTGAATATAAATGAATATGATGATACCCTTTCAGTGTATGTAAATATGGGGGCTTTTCTCAAAAAACGTGGAATATTGGAATATTGATTTATAACATGTTTTATATAGTACTTGGAGTAGTGACCAGTGATGGGATTTCAAAATTGCCAGAAATTTTGGAAATAAAAGCCTTAAATAATCAAAAATCATTGAGAAGTCTGAAGAATACAATGTTAAAATCAAATAACGAATTATGTATGGTATTATATCTTCTACTGATAGATTAACGAAGAGAGATGGAGAAATTGGATTTAGAGAGAGAATGAAATGGGGTTTAATGTCCACTCGACACAAACTAAGTCATTTCGGGACTAACATATGGTTTTATTTTTATTTCAATAATTCGCTTGCGCGTAGGGGTCTTTAGCAGTGGGGAGAAACCGGGGATTCGAAACCACGCCAGTTGACTCAATGACAGGCCTTATGATACAGTGCGCATGTGCTAACCATTCGGCCATCCTACCCCCGACAGGCGACCCTACTCCTTATTTTGCCTAGACAGCGGTACTATGGCCTACTCTTATATCGAATTCCAACTTCACAAGCCAATGAGTACGAGGGACCTTGGTTTTTCGTTCCTTCCAAATGACTATATTATGTTGTCGTTTGCCAGACCATCTGTCCTGCACCACTGGCAAGGGGAAACCACGCTGGCAAATCCTGATGAACTTACTTAGTGAGCCAACGTCTTACTCACAGAGCCAACGTGGCTATGAGGAGAAAGGAGGACATGGAAAAAAACCTGTGAGGTTAGGCAGGCGACACAATTTAGTTTGTACATATTTTCAGTTATTAGCTATATACCTTTTAACTTTTATTCGTAAATGTTTGATGTGCTACACAACGAGAATCACTGAATATTTGTTACTGTGCTGAAACTAATCGCCTAAATTATTCCATATAGAATTGGTCATCCAAACTGTGGAAATATATTGAGATTAATTCAAAATCAATTATAATATTTACTGGATAGCCCTTGGCATTTAGTAAATTATAATAGTGACAAGTTACCATTTGTTAGATAGACAGCTGTATTCACTAAGTTGGTGTATGGTCACCATTAGAGTTAATTATTTCCTTTTACTAAATAAATAGTAGAAAACATGGCATGTAGATATTATTGTTCTATCTACTATAATTCTACTAAAACAATACAATATACTGATATACAGCACACCTAGAGAACTTGCTATTGTTTACAACAGTTAACAGTCAACATATTACTACTACTACTACTACTACTAATTTGTCATTTTGTACTCAATGATTCTGAACACCTTTTTTAGATCAACGGTACTATATTTTACTATATAAGAGAGAGAGAAATGTGATTTAACAAACAAAGTCATTTTAGGACTAATATATGGTACAATTTCATTTCAATAATTCGCTTGGGTGAAGAAGTCTTTAACACTGGGAGGAAATCAGAGGACATTGGGAAAACCCAGGAGGTTAGACAGGACAGGCGACCCTACTTCTTGTCATGTACACATACACAAGTGTGGTATGGAAGTCATACCACTTCACTCAATGACAGACATTATGATCTAAAGTGCATGCGTTAGACCATTTAGTCCCCACCTCCCTCCCCACCCCACCCCCACACAACACCATTTTACAACAAAAGAATTTAGTCTAGTGGTTAGGGTGTATCCGGGGTTAGAATCAAGGTGTGGGCAGAAATTAACCTTTATGATCGGTTCCCACTTAAAAGTAATTTACATTAATTTCAAGAGTTTACATAAGTATGGGGTACGTGCAGTAGTGACCGTGGTAAAAAAGGTGGATCCACATCATCTAGGATGTGCAGTGTTTGAACCAGTCATGAGAAGACTCTGTGATTTTGAAGGTTGGTTCCTCTTTCCACCCACTAGAAAGTAACTTGTATTGTTTGAATGGAGTGGGTGTGATAGTTGCATGAAAAGGAACTGAATCCACAACTACAATATCCTAGTTTTGTATCTTTGCATCAGAAGAACCATTGAGATTTTTCAGGATCGGTTTCCACTAATCTGGGACAACGTCTATTGGGCGGATGAGGAAAAAGGTGGAATCCAAGATGACTTGATCCTACTTATTAATACATATGATACTTATTGGGTTAAATATCAACTATTGTATAGGTTATAGGTTATAGGCAGACGTCAATATAGAGCAGAACACTTGAATCTTGAGTAGGAGATTAATAACAAGACTGGTGAGGCTAGAGGAAATACTATAGGGTGGTGGTGGGTAGGTAGGTATACCACTTAAAATGACAAAAATCTTGATCAGGAAGAGATACAGAAGAAATATTCATAGTATCCTCCTACTTATATTGTAGCATAACTAACACCAACCATAATAATTACAACAGCTATAAATAATATCTTCACTCCTTTAATATAATCGAAACAAACAAATCTTTTCATGATAACCACAATAATCAATTTTGAAGGAATCTATAACAGTGATTTACTAAAATAAAATCTTATTACAAGATATAAAATTTGGAAGCAATTTCAGAATCTGTCAACCAAAAAATGAATTTTTTATAAATATAAACTGGGATTCCCTATAGATTGCCGGTGCATAGATCCTGGTATCTATTGTATAGTCAAAATGTGTTTAAAATCCAGAAATTTTCCAATACAAGACTTTTAAAAAATTAACCACATATCAAATTCTGCGGGTATGTTGGAAGTTCAGTCGCATGAATAAACACCATTATAGTTTTTCCATCAATCTGATTGATATTTGTTAAGAATTTGACAAAGAATTGAATATTTCAGAAGTACTTTTATTGGAAAAGTGCACAGAACTTAGTGCACTGAACTTGTCATGTGTTCTGCATTGGTATAATGTTTGTTTTAGTACAGAGTTACACAATTAGAAACTAATAGAGGATATTGTACTCATTAATGATATGTTCCTTCCAAATCCAAACAATAAAGGGTATTGTATTGTAAATTTGTATATTCCTTTGAATACTACACAAATTAAAAATAACCATTGTAGTGCACAATTCCCTAGAATCAAGCACATTTGTCAAGCCTTCTCCATACGGTATTCCCTCAGTCCCCGAATTAATCAGTCCCTTTTATATCAGCTGATTAGCCTTTTCCTACCATAGGCTATAACATAACAACTTGTTAATGTAAAAATAATTTAAAATCATTGATGATATGACACTTGTGTCAATCAAATGACCAATCATTGACAAAATGTCAATCAATATCACCAATCAAGGACAAAGACAAAAATTAGCCAACCAATTAGAGTCACTCATGCTCTCTGACTTTCAGCTGGACAAGGAATAAATTTATGATTGAATGAATAGATCATATGCATATTAATAAATCATAACAAGGATGAGTATGATCTTTATCAGAATTAGTTGTGAGCAGGTGCCGACATTGACATGTTTCCAATTCATTTGTAATCCTCACTTACCTCCTCAATGTGCCCCCTTCTCAACTCTAACACGCCCAGATTGTTATAGGCTTCAGCATGGTCGTTATTACTAGCTAATGACATACGGAAACACTGATATGCTAAATTCACATCTCCTATACCCTGAAAAATAAAATAGTGCTAAGTTTTTATCTTCATTTTGCTTTTCCAGAAATTTGAATTAACAATTAACTACAGTCCTCCAGGTACCCTTTATTTCCACGAATGGAACTGAGGCATTAAACTGTTCATACTGCATTCCTTTTAAAAGAGGAAAATAGCAAATAATAGAGGTTTTTTTTAAAAGACAGAGAGAGAGAGAGATTGGAGTACTACTAAACATTAGCATATCATTTGGGTATTAAAGGGAAATCTTTAGCAGGAATAGGAAAACAGAGACCCCAGGAAAACGGCAATCCTACTTGTCATGTATAATAGTGGGGATGAACATTACGAATAACAGACCTATGATACACAGTTTGAAGACATTACATTTCTCAAAAACTAGGTATGAAATAAGCAAATGAAAGGATGAAAAAAAGACTAACATATGGTGTATATTGTTGTAGCAATAACTCTTTGAGCGAAGAGGTCTTTACCAGTGGGACAAAACCAGAGAACCCAGAGAAAACCCATGAGGTTAGGCAGGCAAACCTACTTCTTCTCATATAGATTGAATCCACCACAGTGGCAGTGATGATAGATTTTATGATCTAAAGTGCATGCATTTGACCACTTAGCCACCCCATTTTGTTATTTGACATTGTAATAAACAGGCAATATCATAATATTAAAAGATCCATTTTAGGACTATGTAGCCACAGCTAAAAGTACATCATGGTTTGCTTAGAGTAAGCTCAGTTGTTATCAAGATTAAGACATTATTCAGAGGAGATAAACGATAGTCTACAGTGAAATAAATACTTTCTACGTCTCTGGTAATACGTATGTAATATTTTATAATACATTTTGACAAAAGTAATCCATATAGATCATAAATTAGATGAACAATACGGATACAAATCTCCTGAATATCACATGTTGGCTTAAACTGTAATTTCAGAGGATTAATGAGATGAAATAGTTGACCTATTTACAAAGGTTTTTGGGTGACACCATTTACAAAATTGATACTCCAGTAGTTGTATGTGTCATGAATGAGAACATTGATGTCAAAGTTTTTAATTTGTTTGATTAAACTTCGTACTTGAATGAAGAGAAACTTTTTAAAGTTCAAAACCAGCCCACACAATAAAAATCCAAAATAATTGTATGTAATCGAGGAGATTAGTCTACTTTCAGTTTTTGTAAAAAAAGATAGGTAATTATGTAATCTGATCTGTTTTATTTGACTTCAAAAATGTATATCTCTAGTATTCATTTTTATCAAAATACCATCTCATAATTTGAAATTTTTAGAGAAATACTAGAATGATACAATCTAAATGTGGAAATTTATGAGCCACAAGTTATATTAGGCTATATTATCTTGGGTTTCCCTTTTAGTTTCCATATTATAATTGAACTGAAATAAAACTTTATCAATGTAATATTGTAATGTAATAGTACAGGAGTGTCTTCAAAGGAAAGTGGGCTCTAGCAAGGAATGTGATAGTTTGGTGACCAACTTTTATGAAGTGATTACTGACTTCAATCGTAATTGTTTTCAAAGAGAGAGGCGAGAGGGATGGAAATGAAAAAAATTAAACGTCTTAATTTATTCCACCAACCATAGGCCGTGCAGTATGCTTTGGAGGAAATTTTGTCCAGACAACGATGCCTAGTTCTTATTTGTGAGGGGTGGTGCCTCGGGGAACTTAGGGAAAAGGTAGCTACTCCTGCAGATATGTCAAAAGACCTGATTTCCACAGTGTACAGATTGGTGTGCATCTGAAAGATACTTTGAAAAGTGGAATTCAAAGAAGTACAGGCAAAATGCATGTAGCTGAACCTTAATATCTCTACGTAACCACAGAAATGAAAATGACCATATTATTGTGTTGACAAGCCTTTAAACCCCATTTACTTCCAGACATGTAAATATAACCAACATAAAAACAAAGTGTGCATTCAAATATAAATCTGCTAATTGAATATAATTGAATTATTGGTTAAATTGGTTTAAGTAAATAATTACAGACTAAATAATGGTTAATAGGTTAGAGTAATTACAGTTTTTATATGTGGGTCACATGTTAAGTATTACTGTGATTATAATTTCCTGTTCATACCAATTGTCATATCAACCATATCATAATATCATAAATAAAGTTAAATATCGGCCTAGTGACTAATATTTACTCTGAAACTACATTCACATTGGTTTTATATAAATCAAACAGATTTAGTTCGAAGTAAGCCTCAACACTGACTCTGTTTTGTAGATGAAATAAAATAGATAAGTCTGTTGACGACGTTGCAATTGAAACACAGCCCTGTACATCTTATTCATTCCATGCAAATTAAGATCTTATTCGTTCCATTCAAGTTAAGATATTATTCGCTCCATTCAAATTAAGAGCTTTTTCGTCCCATTCAAATTAAGATCTTATTTGTTCGAATATGCTGAAAATTTCAGCCAAATTACTTAACTCTGAGCCTAGATATTAGAGGTACAATTATAGTCTAGCCCCGATTGTCATTACTACCGTTGTTACAATAATAAACAAAGTCTTGATTATCAATTTTTACAGTAACCGCATCGACCACAAAACGTATTTAAATCTACTTTTTTTTTTAGCCATCTAACGGCATCGAGAGTTGATTATGGTCTTGGTAAGTTAATTATTGTCTAATTAATAATCTATATAACATTTCAGGCCTAAAGAAAGACCTGCAATAGGTAGATTTAGCATAATGCCTGATATTTAAGAATAGATTTTAAATTTTAAAAATGTATGTTTCAAACACATGAATCACGTTTCTTAGTTTTATTTTTGTAAAGTTACTTCCCAATAAAACAAGCGGTTGCCAAGCAAGATACGCCCACATTTTGTAAGAGATGGACAGAGAACAAGCTAAAAAAAAAGCAATAAGGGGCCATAATCTTGGATGTTATGGTTTGACATGCGTCAATATCAAAAGGAACCGAGATCTTTGGGATATAAACAAATGTTTTAAGTTTCATCAAAATCGGATAAAAATTGTGACCTCTAGAAGATCCACAACCTTGATATTACATACTTTTGCACTATTGCATACAAGGAGCGGCCATTTTGTTGGGCAATTTTGGTCCAATTTTCATGAAATTCAAACTCATCCATCATTATGGTGTAACGGTGATAGGCACAAATATGGAACGGAACCAAGTTCTTTGTGTTATAAACATACATTTTAAGTTTCATCAAAATCAGATAAAAATTGTGTGATCTCTAGAGTGTTCACAAGCTAAAAACTTGATTTTTTGTACAATCAGGGGCCATAATTCATGAAGTTACGATCCGATACATGCTAATATCAAAGGAAACCGAGATCTATGGAAGATAAACCTATATTTCAAGTTTCGTCAAAATCGGATAAAAATTGTGACCTGCGACGGACAGGGGTGACAACAATATTATGTCAACATGAAAATGTCAACTTTTTTTTTTTCATGTGTTAATATTTTGTATTTTAACACATAACAAAAAAAAGTTGACATTTTGTATTTTCACAATGTCTGATACTACTTACTAAAGCAACATGGCCGATATTGAACCAGACATCACCCGACGTTGTGTCATCAGCCAATGATAGAGCTCTTTCAAAACAAGTTAACGTCATGTCATACTGCTGGGCATAAAAACAACATAGACCAAGATTATTAAACAATTCTGTATTATAAACACCCATTTGTAATAATCGCCTGAAAGTAGAAAAAGTAAATCCATTAAATCTAAATCTGAAGGAAATAGTAGTAAATACTGTCATTAGATCATCCTTATTAGAATCAATTGATATTACAATCTGGGAGTCACAGGGGCTCGGTGAGTATGGTACTGTCACATGAGACCGGTGTTGGCCGAGAAAGTTCCTCAGGATTTTACAGTTTAACCTTGTCACAGGTGCAAGACAGTGGGCCTGGGAAGGAAAAGCATCTAGACATACAGCTGGGATGAGAACCAAGGTCCACCATGGTACTTGTAGCCACGCCCACAAAAGAACCATTGACAGTTGGAATTTGAAGAAGAGAAGGCAGAAACGCCACTGTCTGGGCAAAATTTGCCTCATACTGAGAAAACTACAACGTGAAAGGATTTATAGAGATTGATGGAATGGGGACAAAGAAGCTTTTGAGGTTTTACTGCGGTTTACTTCTAAGCCTTTTTTGGCCTTATAATTTGAGGAAGCCATGACCATTCTCAAAAATTCCTGTAGGGTAATCTGAAACTGTTTAGACTCATTTAAATAAGTTTTATCTTGTAACCTTTCTGTGAATTAAAGATGCCTTCCCATGTACAAATTGGGTGATTTGATGATATATCTGGACTAAAAACATATATTTAAACTAATTAATTAATCAATAATTTGCTTCAAATGCCTCTTAAAACATTGTATTTGCGAGGAAATACACCAAGCTATAAAAAATATATCTAAAGAAGTCATGTTTGTGTAACGTGACTTGGTGCTGGCGGAGATTGTCAAACCGAAGGAGAATTAATTGCATATAAAATATCAAAGGCTAAGTAAAATCTGGGGTTATCCCCTGCCCGCTTCTTTTTCCTCAGTTTAGTCTCAGAATTTGTTGTGCATTTAAATCTCTTACTTTTTCCAAGTCCACTCACTATCATGTTTATCAACATATACATTAAGCGCTCCCTGATCTGATGAAAAGAGGTCAGACAATCTACGCATGCAGCCTTTGACGTCACACTAACAGACAGTCCTAAATTGTCAGGCTGACAATTAGTGACACCCTCTCATTTTTGTCCTGTGGATGTTTTTCAGGGAATCAAGAATTTTTCTGTTAAGATTGGATGTCTCTACTTTCCATATATACCAAAACTGTCATACTTTTTAACCACCTGATAAATACTTTTGTGGGAATGTATCTTTAACAAGAATTTGTGGTCAGTTTTCTAGTTAAAACTAGTTACTCTGATGAGAAATTAGAAAGGTTGAGACCAAACATGGTATTGTTTGTACATATTGACAAATCATGTAGCAAGTAGCTGATAAATGGAGCCTGTCATTTTGTGACATTAAGAAAACATCTTAGATACATTAACTCATGTAAAAGCATATTAAATTGTCAGAACTATATAATTAGTAGCCATTTATATAGTCAGTAGCAAGTAGATTTACTGTTGTGGTTGAATTGTCAGATAATGAAGAAAAACAGACATGGAAGACAATAAGAGATCATAAGCCACTAAAGATCAACAAAAGCCTGTCTGTTTATCAAATGTCTTGATGCTCAATTTCCTGCAGAAGTAGCAATCCTAAAGAAATTGACCTTGATGTTGACTGAGAAAACATTTAAAACAATTGATAATCGAATGTACAGATCCATTCGCTGTTAATCTATATTGGATTGTTGATGGTGCTGCAAGAACAATGTATGGTGTTTCTAATTTGAACAACTATATTTGACTTCGAGATGAGTTGAAAGTCAATATCTGTACTGAAGGAGGGAGAAGGACCGAAATGTATTATGAAATTAAAAGACAGAAGCTAGTTCTCTATATTCCTGAAGCAATGGTTATGAGCATAACAAGCCCATTAACCACTGCATTATCAGATAGCAGTTATGGTCAATCGTTGCTTGTTGATAAATGAAAATCAAAAGCAAGCATCTAAAAACTAAAAAAAAAGTGATACATGTTGCATTTACATTAATATTACCCAAAACACATTGACAGGACATTAGAAATCAGGTAAGCAGATGAAATTAATTCCTGAACTTGCATGCAAGAATTAAATTTCATTCTTTGGAATAAGATCCTACTTTTTACCTAATGCAAATCACCAGCCCTGAGTTCACAAAGCATTCTCAGACTTACATTAAGAATTTTCTCAAAATTGTTTGTCTTATTTTAACGAAAATATAGCTCTCTAAAAGACTTTTGTTGTTTTAATGTATCAAAATACATCAATAAGAAACAATGTGTAAAGTTTTGTGTTTCTGAATCAAAGATATTTCTCATTATCAGTGATTTAAAGTTGAGTAAATTCTTAACTTATTCTGAGAATGCTTTGTGAACTTGGGGGCCAGAAGAATCTGGACTCAAAAACCACCAATCCACTGTGAACACGGCCTTAGAAAATGACTGAATGTTTCTATTGGTATTGCAAATATCAATATCCAATTACCACGACTATGGAACTATCTACTGAAAGTCTTAAATTAAGGTGTATCATTTAGTTCCTTCAAATCTAGCTTAAAGTAAAGACATTTCTATTAAAAAGAAGACATTACATTTGTTAAACCTATGTCGATCAACATTCGTTCAATTAACAATAAACTATAAACCATAGGACACATGACTGTCTTTCCACCATTCAACAGACTATTGCCTATTTTCTTTGAAATTAAAATCTCAAAATTATTTTAAAATTTCCATCAATTCATTAATACTGATCAAATTTGTCCCCGGCATTCTGGAATATATTTTTCAACACAAAGAGAGAGAAATGTGATTTAACGTCCACTCGACACAAATTAGGTCATTTCAGGACTAACATATTGTTCAATTTTATTTCAACAATTTGCTTGAGTGTAGGTTTTTTTTTAGCTGTGTGAAGAAACTAGAGGACCTGGAGAAAACCCACGAGGTTGGACAGGTGACTCTACTCACATACAAGCGGGGGAAACGAAACCATGCCACTTGACTCAATGACAGTCCTTATGATCTAGCACACACATTAAACTATTTGGCCACCCAAACCCCCCTTTCTTCAATCCCCTTGTCAGTGGTGCAGAACGGAGGGGCTGACAAGGACAGCTGTCTAGTCCTTCAGATGAGACGAAAAACCGAGGTCCCGTGTATACATTGGAATGCACGTAAAAGATCCCTTGGCAGTTGGAATTCGATATAAGAGAAGGCCATAGTGCCGCTGCCCGGGCAAAATTTCCCTCATAGCACACTGTATGGCATATGCCCGTCTTCATTAGCCCAGTATATGAGCAGAACAGTAGGACGTTAAACCCCATTTCATTTCATTTCATTTCCTTTCTTCAATACAGGCAAGTCCTTGAACATATTCACAGGATATCATTCTATAACCCTAATCTGCCTGTAAATTCCACAGTAGTAATGTGATAAAAACTTTTAATACATTTATCACCTCTAAAACATTTCAAATTAGATTTAACATTCAATATTCCGATTTCTTAGAGCTCAAATAGCCATGGTAAAAGAAACATTGAAAGTCAAAAGATGGGAAATTGTTACAGTTTAATGGCTTAAACATGTGCATTGAATGCATAAGAATTTGCGGTTAGTTTCGACCTTTTAAAGGAATTTGTGTCATGCCAAAGCGTGTAATATTTTGTTATCGGCATGAGAATAACAGTAACACCCAAATATAAACATAAACATAAATATCTAAACTGTGTTAAGGCATGTTAGAAGTTTATAGAAATAATAAATGATTTATAGTGCAAGTTAGGTTGCTTTAACTTGATTCCTTGCTTAAAATTCCATTGATTTGACCACAGTAAGACACACAATGTTCTTGTAGTAATTTTTATACCGAACATGGAATTTAAATCCAGACATCCCTTGGTGGCCATTTTCTCATATAAAAATTTCATATTCACTATCAGTTGGTTAAACAAGTCTAGTATTAGCTTAACATGATTGGTTGAAATTAGATTTTTTTAACCTATTTTGTGGGTTGAATGACCATTAAATCGTTATTCTGAACTGTATGGAAATATCTGAAAAAAATGATGGAAGACTTTATCAAATAGTCTTAAGACTTAAAGGTATACCTAACATTACATGATCGAGTTTAAATCAGGATCACACATAGTATTAGAGTAGGCATATAATAAGCCTATTTCTTCTCTGGGTCCTCCGGTTTCCTCCCACTGCTAAAAAAACCTACGCACAAGCGAATTATTCAAATAAAATTAAACCATATGTTAGTCCCAAAATGACCTAGTTTGTGTCGAGTGGACATTAAACCCCATTTCTCTCTCTCTCTCTATTTCTTATTTTATTTTTAAAATATTGGTAGTTAGCTGAGATTATCTATGTTTGTATGAGGGCTGTGATTTGCTTTTGTTCACTCTTTCCTATCAATCATAACTGGCCTCTTTGATATGTTAATTAGAAACATTTGTCTGTGGCATCAGCCTTAATGGAAGCAGACATTGACCCTAAAGGGTTTGAATTTTCACAAAATCTTACTTTTTTAGAGCTAGACACCATGAAACAAGACAGGAAAAAATAATTGTTGTCATTCTATATTAAACTTTAATTTTAACAAAAACAATTTAAAAGTGTTATCATTAGTATAAATTAGCAGACATAATAATTAGTGTCAGAAGTGAAATACATTAAACAGAGTTATCTAACAGACAGACAACATTAATTTCTGTATTTAAGCATAAAATAGATAAGTTTAAGATAATGGTGTCTAGCTTGAGACACATAAAACAAATCAATAAGAGAACTGGCCATAACCTGACTATCAATAATAGAATACTTGATGATGAAATGGGTACAATATTTTTTGTATATCTCAGCATTTTCTTTATCAAACATCTAATGATGAACATTTACTTCAACCTTTTTGTCTGAATCTCTTCCATTTTTCCAATACGCATAATGTGACGATGATTGTAATGAAGCCAGGCATTTGGCGATTTACTAGATGGGCATTGTTATCTTTTAATTATTTTGTATCTTAAAGGGA